GTTTAGGTGTCTGATCCATTTTGAGCTAATTTTTGTGTATGATGTAAAATAATGAACCAACTACATTTTTTTTTTTCATGTGGATATCCAGTTTTTTCAGATCTTTCATTGAACAGACTGCCTTTCCTCCACTGAGTGCTCTTAATACCCTGGTGGAACATCATTTACTATATACAGAAAAATTTCTGACATCTGTATTCCATTTCGCTGGTCTCTGTCTTTCTTTATGCCAGTACTACACTGTTTTGATTACTTTAGCTTTTAATGAATTTGAAATAAGGAAGTGTGAGACCTTCAACGTGGTTCTTGTTACGTTGTTGCTATGCAGTGTTCCTTGAGATTCCATATGAATCTTAGGATAGGATCATGTACTTCATCAAAAGATTTTATTAGGGATTGTATTGAATCTGTTGATTGCTTTGAAGAGTAGTGACATCTTGGCAATACTAAGTCTTCCAATACATGAACTTGGAATATCTTTGCATTTATTTGTGTCTTCTCCCCAAATTTCTTCAGCAGTGTTTTTAGTAAGAGTGTACAAATCTTTCCTCCTAGGCTAAATTTAAGCTTAATTATTTTATCCCTTTTGATGCTATTGTAAATGGAAATGTTGTCTCAATTGCCTTTTTGGATTGTTCGTGGATAATGTGTAGCAACACAATTGATTTTTGCATGTTGGTTTTCTCTCTTGCAATTTTTCTAGATTCGTTCTTCAGTTCTAGCAGTTATATGTTTTGTGTCTGTGTATGTGTGTGTAATACACAGGATTTTCTACATATAATATCATGCTGGCTGTGAACAGAGGTAATTTTGCTTCTGCTTTTTTTTATTTGAATACCTTTTATCTCTCTTCCTCTTTTTGCAGGGGCGGCTATCTGTTACAGCTAGGACTTCTAGTAGTACGTTTTATAGAAATAGAGCAGGCATCCTTGTGTATATAAACTCTGTGAGTCTACTCACAGGGTTGGAAAAATGCTGCTAATTTAGCTGAATTATTTAAAAGCAAATTAGTGCTGTTAGATGCACTGAATATTGCATGTTTTATAGTAGACTCAGAAGTTACTTTTGTAAGATGAGAGGTCTTAACAAATGTAATGAGTGTGGCAAGGCTTTTAGCAGGGATTTACACCTGTGACTTCATGAGAAAATTCATACTGGAGAAAAGCCATACAAATGTATTGAATGTGGCAAGGCTTTTAGACAATGGTCTGACCTCAGGATTCACCAAAGAATTCGTCCTGGAGAGAAACCTTACAAATGCCACGAGTGTGGCAAAGCCTTTACTCAAGGCTCACCCCTCACCAGTCATCAGATAATCCATACTGGAGAGAGCCTTATAAATGTACTGAATGGGGCAAGGCTTTTAGGTATTGCCTTAAACTCAGGGTTCACCAAATCATTCATATTTACAAATGCAACAAATGTGGCAGTGTTTTAAATTAGTACTCTTCACTGGATATGAGTAAATATCCTGGAGAGAAACCACACACATGTAATGTGTGTGGAAAGGATTTTACCCAAAGATCAAAATTGCAGGAACATACTAGACCATATACCTTATAAATGCAATGAGTGTGGCAAAGCTCTTAGCTTGAGTTCCAAGTATTTTGCAACAAGAGTCCATGTTGAAGGGAAACCATGTAAATGTTTGTGGCAGAGCCATTTTCCATGCCTTACAATGAGATTAGAATATATACCTTTGAGACAAACCACACAAAACTAATGTGCATGCTAAGTCTTTTACCTCAAGATCAAAACTGTGGAACGTCAGAGGATTTATATTGGAGAGCCACCTTACAAATGTAAAGAATATCATAAAATTTCAATAAATTGTCATGCCTTTAGAGAAATGAGAGAATTTATTCAGGGGAAACTATACCAAATATGCTGAATGTGGAAATACCTTTAAAAAACCGTGTATCCTTAGGATTTGACAACAAATTTGTACTGGTGAGAATCCTTGCAAATCCTTACAACTTTGGTAAATATTTTGACCAATTCACAGAACAGACCACACATTAGAAAATCCAGGAATAACTGGATCCAGCTGGAATAACTAAGTCTGTAGGTCTCAGTGATTAATGTGAAATGTTACACACTGCAGAATAATTATGTCACAAAATGTTAAAACATGTATATCACGGGAACAAGGACGTGTGGAAGTAGCTCATGATTTTCTGTGTATAAGATATTTGAGTTTTCTTGAAAAGGCTACATTACTGTTTATGAGTTTCACCCTCAAGTTTGAAATCTGTTGATCTTAAGCCTTCCTTACAGGCCTTTCCTGACGGTCTCTGAGGAGCAGTCATAAGATGAAGGGGCCTACTTCCTTGGGTGTGACCCATTCATATCCATGTTCCCTAAACTACAAGGACATGGAGTTGTCAGATTCAATTTTGTGTGAATGTGCATTGGGGAGGGGCAGAGAATAATGCAAAACCACCATAGAAGTCATCCTGCTTGTTGTGTTCAAGGCATTCTTCTCTAGATGGACGCTTCTTTAGATGAGTTACAGGGACTGACCTTTTCATGAGATGATGGTGATAGTTTGTTTGCTAGGGACGGATTATGTGGTAGAAACAACACAGGGGAAGATAGTAATAGCTGTGCTATACTATCAATGACAAACTGATGGATCATTAATGCCATTCCTTTTTTTTTTTTGGAAAATGAAGGGAGCAGTTATCTGAGAGGGCAGTTGAATCAAAAGAATCAGAACAGTATGTGCATGGTTCATACTTAACCCCTGCCATTACATTTTGCTACTGTTTACTTTGGAATGTATCACAAGTCTCATGTTTTCATTAATGAAGTTTAAATCATTTTTCTCCATAACCCTGAAGGAGTCATGTTCTTTTTCCAACATAGTTTTATCCCATCTCTATAGAGTACTTTGTAACACATAGTAACAAGGTGCCATTAGCTCTCAAGGTTGAAAGAATCTATAATAATTTCCTTCCATGATGGAATTAAAGAATGGACAGTTTGAAGATTATATACTTAACACGTTGCATTTGAGTTGTTCTCTCCACACTGTGCCCCAGGATATTTATGTGGCTATAATAAAAAATGCCACAGCAGTGCAAGTTCAAGACTCTGATTCCCTAAAACCTGCCCCCCAGTCAAGAATCTGCACCATATGATTCTCTTCCTTCATGTGTTTTGTGCCCAAATAAAACCCATGGTTTCTAACATGGTTTAAATAAAGTGAAAATAGGAACATAGTACACATGAAAAATTCAGAAATACAATTTCAGAAATAAGGCTAAAAATAATCGTTTTTAGCTTGGAGCACTAAAGAAGTAATTTAGAATGAACAGTATACAATGGGAGCATTTGTTTCATAGTTAAACTAGAAATTTCACATATTCATTGCCTAGCACATTTTTTGTTAACTTCCACTTGTGGCCGTCCACTGGAACAGATGGAACCCTAACCAAAGTTGGGTTTGGATAACGAGACTGGTGGTGCCATGCACTAAAAGTGTGATGAGAACACATACTGTAATTAAGATTACTAGGGAGAGCACAGACTTCCAAGCTGGTCAAAAAAAAAAAAAAAAAAAAATGGCTTGAGGGAACAGGAAATGGTGAGTGGTTTGGTGTGTTTTGGGTGGTGACTGGGTGGAGCTGGGGGAGGATGCCTTCTGTGGTTTGAACTTCCGGCTGATACCAAAGGAAGGAGCACCAGGCTTTTCTCTCAGCTTGGGCAGGTGGGCAGAACAGATGTGGTGGTGAGGCTTAAAAGGTGTCAGTCATCAGCCACCAAAAAATGGATACTCTTTAGTAATACACTGAATATGTAGTCTTGAAACTCCTGATGTCTTGGTTGGGAAAGACAAACTTTTCTTCATGCTAATTTGTTACATTCCTTTTCCTTCTGTACACCTAGATTCCATTGTATGATGTGCTTGTCAAAATGCTTATAGAATACTATTTAGATAAATTGCCTTAGGATATTTTTATACTAGCTTAATGAAGATGTTTGGAAATGTTTATTAGATCATAAATGTTACTAAACAATTTTATTAGAACAATTTTCCAGAGGATTTTAAAATGTGAATTTCAAAGTATGGTCTTGAACAATTCATTCCATGGCTCATTTTCAACTGTAGTAAAACTTCTTTTTTTTATACAATTTTCCCTTGCCATTATCTTTTCTTTCCACACGTTGTGACCCAGATTATATGTTTCATTTACATTTTTTTCCCAGTTTACACCAAGGGATACATAAGTCAGGGGGTTGTTGGGAGACTCTTGTGACGTGAAAAATGCATATGAGATGGTGACAGGTACAAAGTAGGTGCCAAATCTGAAGAGTTCCTTCAGGTCTTGAGTGAAATAACTTGAAACGTCTTAACTGTAGTAGTTGGCTGTGGTCTGGTGCTTGGAAACCAAGTGTGTGGAGGTTAACGAGCACACAGTGAAGTAAATGAAAAAGTAAATAAAAAATGAAAAATGATGAATAAGAGAGTCCCCGCGATTCCAACCCTGGTGTCTGACAAGGAGATGATGGCCTCAGTTGCCTGGAGGCCATTCTGCCATTTCCCAGTGACTGATTCTTGACTTCAGAGCCACAGGTCCCTGCACTGGAATGTGGGCTCATATTTCTTTTACTTTTTCTTTTCTAAGCAATCATACATGGATTGTTTTTAAGTAGGTTTCATGCCCAGCTCAGAGCCCAATGGACGGCTTCAACTCCTGACCTTGAAATCAAGACCTGAGCTGAGGTCAAAAGTCAGACACCTAACCAACTGAGCCACCCAGGCACCCTGGTATTGTACTTTTAATTTCAGGTTCAAGGGGTAAATTGCTAGTTTATAGAAATGCAGTGGATTTTTGCATGCTTCTGTGTTCTAACACTTTGTAAATTTTCGTTCTTCTAGAAATTTTTGTACGTTCCTTTGTATTTTCTGTATATACCACTTCAAAAATATTCCTGTTGATGCTGTGACAAATTACCACAGCCTGAATGACTTTAACAAATCTATTCTCTTACAGTTCCGGAGGCGAAATGTGTAAAATGGATCCATAGCGCCGTGCTCCGTCTGGATATGCCAGGTCAGATTTTGTTTCCTTACCTTCCCATGTCTGGAGGCCACTTATATCCTCTGCCTCATGGTGGTCCCCTTCCTCCCTCTTTGAAGCCAGCAGGATAGCATCTTCAAACGTGTTTACCTCTGTCATCACTTCACCAACCTTTACATAAGTAACTCTATCTGCATCCTTCTTATAAGTCCGTCGGGACCGTATCGCATTTACCAGATCATCCAGGATAATCGCCCACCTCATGATCTTCACCAGAGCACATCTGCAGACTCCCTTACGACATTCACAGTAACACTCCCATGTGATAGGCACGAGGACGTGGCCATCCTTTGAGATGAGTATGTTATCCAGCCTACCACAACCATGATGGCTTCTGCAAGTAGCTACACTATTTTATCTTCCTTTTCTCTCGTTACCACTTTTGTTTACTCCTCTTCTGTCACTGACTAGAACTTCTGATAACATGTCAAATATCGGTGAGAGTGGACTGGACGTCCTTGCCTTGTTTCCAGTCTCTGAAGAAAAGCATCCAGTCTTTCACCATTAGGGATGAAGTTTGCTGTAAGTTTTTTGCAGGTGTTCTAGTTTTCTAGAACTAGGTGTTCCTAGTTTTCTGAAAGTTGAGATCATAAATAGGTGTTGAATTTTGTCAAATGCTCCTCTGTATCAATTGACAGGATCCTGTGATTTTTCCTGTCCAGCCTGTTAATATGATGGCTCATACTGCTGGAATTTGAAACTGCTTTCTGGGGGCGCCTGGGTGGCGCAGTCGGTTAAGCGTCCGACTTCAGCCAGGTCACGATCTCGCGGTCCGTGAGTTCGAGCCCCGCGTCGGGCTCTGGGCTGATGGCTCAGAACCTGGAGCCTGTTTCCGATTCTGTGTCTCCCTCTCTCTCTGCCCCTCCCCCGTTCATGCTCTGTCTCTCTCTGTCCCAAAAATAAATAAACGTTGGAAAAAAAAAAAAAAATGAAACTGCTTTATGTCCCCCAAATAAACCCATTTGGTCATGGTGCACAATTCTTTCTGTGTATTGCTGACTTCCACTGTTAATAGTTTGCTAAGAATTTTTGCACCTTCATTTGGGATTTCTCTGGTAGTTATCTCCCCCTGCCCCCTTAATGTTTTTGTGTAGTTTTGGTATTACGCTAATACCGGCCTCATACAGTTAGTTGGGTAAAGTATTCACTCTTCTATTTTCTGAGAGAAATTGTGTAGAATTCCTGTTAATTCTTTGTAGGTTTGATAGAATTGTCTAGTGTTGGTGTTGTGACTTTGTTGTACTAATATTTGTTAAGTAGAGTCCTAGATGTCAGATGGTGAGCCACGGTTCAACAAGAGATTGTAAGGGAAAGTGAATAGAGAAGTTAATTACTCACAGATCGTGGGGGAGCTATTCTGCACACCCATGGGGGTCGTGTGAGGAGATTAAGACAAGGCAGGCAGAGATCTTAGGGCAGGACCAAGGGTGAATGCCTTTATTAGGGTCCCTCAATGAAATGCCTTGGGGTTCTGGGCTAAGGCCACAATGGTCAATTCAAACCAAACAGAGTAGGGTTTCGGTAAGCTTTTGGAGGTGTAGGGGGGAGGTATTATCAAAAGGGGACAAGGGGAAGACCCTGGGAGATGGGGAAGAATGCTTATCATAGGGAAGATTGGGAAAGTCCTATCAGGAAAGCACGTTTGCTTCTGTCTCCATGGGCTCTTATCTAGGGTATGTGTTCAAGGGAAGGGCTGGTTATCATTTCGAGGTCCCTACAGTCCAGTCCTCCTGGCTACACAGAATAGATGCTGCGGAACACTTAACACTCACTCTGTGTGCCTGCAGGTTTCTTCTTCAGGAGGGAATTTTCAGATTGCAGACTCACTCTGCAGTTCAAAGGATTCCTACCATTCCTTTCACATGGGTGATTTGTGGTAAGGTGTACGTTTACAGGAATTGGGCCACTTCCCCTAAGTTTTCAAGTATATGTGTGTTTTGTATTAGTCCCTTACTATCTTTTTGATGTCTGCAGGTTCTGGAGTAATATTCCCTGTTTAATTTGTTATGAGTCATTTATATTTTCTCTTATATTTTTTGGTAGTTTTGCTAGTGAATCATGAACTTGATTTTTTTCAGTGAGCCAGCTCTTTGTTTTATTTTCTCTATTGTTTCCTATGTTCAGTTTTACTTATTTTTGTTCTTGCCTTTATTTCCTTCTTTCTGCTTCATTTGTGTTTCTTTTTTTCCCTTCTGATTTCTTGCTGCAACTTAGATTGTTCCTGGATATTTTCCCTCTTTTCTAGTATAAGCATTGAGCATCAATGTCCCTCTTAGTACTGCTTCAGTTGAATCTCACAGATAATGACATGTTGTATTTTCATTTTCACGCAGCCGTATATTTCCCTCAAGTCTTCCTCTTCTTCCTGTGGATTATTTGGAAGGTATGTTGTTTAATTTCCAAGTGTTTGGAGATTTTCCTGTTAACTTTATGTTTTTGTAGTTGGATTCCATTGTGGGCAGTGAACACCCTCTAGGATTCTGTTGTTTTGCATTTGTTGAAAGGTGCCTTAGGACCCACCAGAAGAACTGTCTTGGCATATGTTCTTGAGGGGAAAAAAAAGTGTGTAATCTCCTGTGTTTGGGTGGTGTTATAAAAATGTTGATGAGATCATGTGACTTGATGGTGTTGTAGTGTTCATCAGTGTCCTGCTGACTTTCTGTCATGATTCTATCAATTATTGAGAGAAGTCTCGAGCTGTAATTGTCAATTTGTCTTTTTCTCCTTTCAGTTCTATCATTTGATGGTTAATATATTTTGCAGCTATTCTTTGGTGGATATACACTCAGCATTGCAAAGTCACCTTGTTTGACCCGTCAATCATGTAATTTCCCCCTCTATCCTCAGTAAGTTTATTTTCTCTGAAATTTGTTCTATCTGGTATTAATATAGACATTCCTGCTTTCTATTGATTGAGGTTTACATGGTATAAGTTATACAGTTCTGTAGACTTTGGGGCTCAGATACCTCTTTCATGTATGAAGCTGTATTGTGCATTGTGGGATATTTAGCAGCATCGCTGGCCTGTACCCACTAGATACCAGTAGAACCACCGCAGTGATGACATTAAAAATGTCCCCAGAACTTTGCAAATGCTCCCGAGATGGGGGATGGTTATCCCCCCTGTATATCAATTCCACCAATATAGAGATCAGGAAAGCAAAAGATACTACCATGCCACTTTGTTCTCAGCTGCATTTAACACAGTATTCCAAGAAAGACCTGATGTCAGAAGTGAATGACCTGATTTGCAAGTAGGATTTAAGGACGTAACTGTGCCTCATCTCTAGCGGGTAAAACTGACCATTAATAAATCCTTTGAGGTCAAGGGCAAGTTAAAATTCAAAATCATGGCAAAGTCTACATGACAGACATGGCCCTAATTAATGCCCTATGAAGTTACCTGCCGTTGACTACAGTAGGTCCTGTGGGTTGGTTCTCTTGGACAGCATGGCTTAGTGAACGGAAAGCACAGGTGTGGCTCTATTAGAGGGGCCCGAGAGGCTCAATGACCCGGAAATAAATACGAAGAGCATGGCATGTCTAGCTAAATATGGTGGGTGTAGCTAATAGATGTAGCTGTTTGGTATCACATAAAGTGCTATTTAAAAATACTGTGCTGTCCACGATGCGCCAAGTTTGCACGAGAAGGAAACTGTGATCATGCCGTAATGTTTGGTGATGTACATTATGATGGCAAGGAGGTCACTGGGGAAAACGGCTGGTTGTGCAAGGAAGACAGGGTTTCTGACACTTTAGCAAATGTAACTACATGAAGTCAAGAACGGTGAAACACAAAGGACTGGAAAGCTATTCTCAGGGGAAAAGTAGGAACCTAAGAAAAGATCCTTCCTCAGTCCTGCCCCTCCCTGTTTGCTGTGGACCAGAGACTGCTGGGTCCCTCCTTTCCTTTTCTTTTCGGAATGGGAGGGTTTATTGAGTTTTTTTCTGTTCCACCATAATGTGTTAGGAGTGAGGACTCCACGTCAGGCTCTCAACCAAGAGGAATCTCACGAGACTGTTGCAAGACCCTCCCATGTGACTGTAGTCATGTTTGGGTAGAAATTTTTTCTTTCGGGACAAACCTAAGTGTATTTTGTGTGAAATACAAAGAAGGGATAAATGATTCCTGATAGAAGTTGTACTATGGTACATTGTAATATTTCCAATTAATTATCACCCTCTTGTGAGATTATATGTCTCTGCTCTTTGATATCAAGCTTGGCCACATGACTTATGCAACCCTTCTTCTTTTTGAGGGGACTACACGTCCTTCCCAATTTATAGCCACCTTGACTAATGCGGTGTGAGTAGAATGGCATATTTTAAGTGTAAACAGAAGCTTTCAAAGCTTTGTTTGCTCCTTCTCTTCTCTCTGGCGCAAGAATAGTTATAACCACATAGACTGAAGTTCTGTCCTGAATCCCAGACTCAAATGACAGAACCAAGCAAGAGGTGACTAATGATAGAAGTGATATGAGGAAGAAATAAATGTTTGTTCTGATGAACCCAAGAGAATTCAGGGATATTTGCTACCATAGAAAACCCTTCTAGAAAGCTGACTGGTACTTTGTGACCTTTTCTTTTCTCCTTACCCATCTTAACTACCCAAAGTCATTGTCTCCAGTAATTGTACCACCTTTGAAATCATGTTTTCACTTACTCCCTCCCTATATTACTACCCTCATATCTGCCGTTTTATATTCTCTACTTCCATTAAAATATCCATTTATTTTTAATTTTATTGTTTTAATTTTGTAAGTTTATTTATTTCGTGAGAGAGCTCATGCACGCGTGGGGTAGGGGCAGAGACAGAGAGAGGGAGAGACAAATTTAAGGGAGCTCCGTGCTCTGTTCAACCGACTCTGCCACCCAGGTGCCCCCATTTATTTTAATGCATCTAGAAATCTATTGCCCTTTACAATCCAACTACCCTCAGTGGACTATGTGTTCTCAGTTACAACATTTTCAACTGGTTTATCGCAATCAAATATTTATAGATAACCTCAAGAACCTTGCTGTCTTCACCGTCCTGCTTCACCTAAGTAGGCCTCAGAACTGCATGAGCTCACTTAGGAGGAGGTTCTCACTCCTTGGCAAACACCCAAAGGAAACAAACAAACAAAAAGGAAGAGTCTTTGGCTTAGGTGTTCTGTGGCTAGCCCTTTTCCAAGGACGTGGTCTTCAGTTTCTCCCGCTGTGGTGGCAAATCATGAATGTTCTGATTTCATTTTCATTCACTTCAGGCTACATTCTCATTTCTTTCTCTACGTCTTCTTTGTGCCAGGGTTAGTCACAAGGAGGTCATTGTTTTCCAAGTATTTGTGGATTTTCCAGAGGCTTTTCTATTAGTGATTTCTATCATAATTCCATGGTGGTCATACACATATTTTGTGTGATGTGAATCCTTTTAAAATTTAGCGAGACAAGTTTGATGGGCCAGAATATGGTTTCTGTTGGTAAAGTACTGTGTGCACTTTTAAAGATTGTGTTTAATTCCCTGGTTAGGTGGAGCATTCTTATGAATGAAAAAAATCAGTATTTCTCCTGTGTGGGAAGAAGTCTGTTTTTTCCCCTACTGTGTGCTTCTATCCTGTCTCCCTCACTACTCACACAGAAGACTTCACTTCTGACACTTCTGGTCACAAATACGTGGAGGGTTTCCCCCACCAACAAGCAGTCTCCGACACCAGCTGGTTTCCTACCATTCACCTCAACTGTGACTCCCTCTCCCTGGATGCCCCTCCACACACTCCAGCCGCCCCGCAAGTCCAGGCTGACTCACGTGCTTCTGCAAACTGGTCTAGATCAGAGGTGCCAACAACCCCCTCATTGTCTTTGACTAGCCTGCTAGAACCCCTCACAGAACTCGGCGAAACACATTTACCAGTTTATTACAGGCTATGATACAGGATACGGATGGACAGTCAGATGAAGAGACACACGGGATGAGGTCTGGGAAGGTCCTCAGTGCAGAAGCTTCTGTCTCCTTGGAGTTGGGGTGTGTCACCTCCTGGAGGGGCGGTGTTCGCCAGCCTGAAATCTCTCTGAATCTCCAGCCATTGGGCTTTTGAGGAGACTTCCTCATATATGCATGACCAGTCATTAACTCCATTTCCAGCCCCTGTCCTCTCTCTGGAGGATGAGGGGATAAGGCTCAAAATCACCATCCTTCCGGTGAGCAGCCCCACCCAAAGAGCCCACACAGGAGAGGCCTCATTATAACAAAAGATGCTGCTGTTACCCTCATCACTTAGGAAATACAAGGACGTTAGGGGTTCCATGTAGAAGCCAGGAGCAGAGAACAATACATACTTTTTCTTTTATCTCACAGCTCTGTAAATGTTAATTGGAGCAGTTTCCTTGATAGTCATGTTACAGTCGCCGAGGTACTGATTTTGTACTTGTTCTATTATGGAGAGAAGGGACATGGAGATCTCTGACTGTCATTGTTGATTGGTCTGTCCTTGCATTCCTGTCCGTTTTCTCAGGGGTTGTGAAGTTCTGTTGCCACGTGTATGGTTTAGGATTCTCATGTCATTCTGGGGAATGTATCCCTTTATGACTATGAAATAGATTTCATTATCCCTGGTCATACAATTTGCTCTTTAATTAACTTTAATCTGATATAGCTGCTCTATAATAATAATATAATAATGACGCCCGAGAGGCCCTTCCCTTGGCAGGAGTCATAAGTTCACAGTGTCAGTGAGTACCATCACCCCCGCCCCACACAGGATGCATCATAACAAAAGTAGTCCCCATTCCCTGCTTTCTGTACCCATTTTCAGAACTTGAGAAGCCTACCCTGCTCTCCCGAGAAAGCATCATTATGTAATAAACATTCTCCTTACACTTCAGCGCATGCAGTCATCATTCTTGACATCTGACATCCTGTTCCAGTGCAGTGAGCACAAATGCAAATGATCATAAATGTTTTAGAGGGTAAATATGAGATTTCTAGTTATCAAAATTCCCATTGTGTATATTCATTCTTTTTTTTTTTTAATTAAATTATTTATTTTTGAGAGAGAGACAGAGCATAAGCAGGGAAGGGGCAGAGAGAGAGGGAGACATGGAATCTGAAGCAGGCCCCAGGCTCTCAGTTGTCAGCACGGAGCCCGATGTGGGGCTCAAACTCACAGACTGTGAGATCTTGACCTGAGCTGAAGTCGGACGCTCAGCCAATTGAACCACCCAGGCTCCCCGTGTATGTTCATTCTTGAGAGTAAACTCATGAAGACTTATCTTTTCAAATTATTCCCTGAGCACTCCAGTGAAAATGTAGTTTGCGTTTTCTTTATGCTTCTGAAATTTTCTTTTAGTTCCTAATTCTTTTCATATGCCTACTACTTTTCTGTTGTCATTTAATGTAACGGTGCA